CCGCGGGCGCGATGGCGGCCGCCTAAGGACCCCCCCTGCCTCATCTCTGTCTGTCCCTCCTCCCACCTGTCCCCTTCCGTCCTCCTCTTGCCCGCAGCCCCCCACTCTCCGCTGGGTCCCGCCGTAAAAGCATGTCCTTCTTCGGGATGAACCGGAACACCCGGCTCCTTGCCCTTGGGTCGGGCTGTCTTGTGGCCATTGGCTTCAATCGCTTCTGGATGGCGGACGACTCGATCTCGACCGAGACGGTGGCCGCCATGGCGGCTCGCGCAGCCACTGCGGCCACCACCGTCTCCGACGCCGGGCGTGTCCCCGGGGCCCTGGTTGGACCGGCCCCGGAGAAGATCAATGTCCCCGAGGCCCGCATCGCCAGCCTCACCCTGCCGGCGGGGTTTACTCCCCCCTCTGAAGAGGAGCGCCTGGCCACCTTCAACCAACTGTCTCCCCGGTATGATGCTCTGGTGCAGGGCAGCGAAAAGGTGTCCATGCTGCGGGCGGACCGCGAGTATATCGCCAGCCGGGCGCATGGGCACGTCCTGGAAGTGGCCTGCGGCACCGGGCGCAATGGCGAGTACATCAAGCCCGGGCAGATCCGCAGTTTCACCGCCGTGGATTTCAGTGCCGGCATGGTGGCCGCGGCTCAGGCCAAGGCCCGGGCGCCGGAAAACCGCGACCGCCTCTGCCCGGAAGTGGCCCACGGCCGGTACCTGGTTGCCAGCGCCCATGCGCTGCCCTTCGCCGATGGGGTTTTCCAATCGGTCATGGCCACCTTCGCCCTTTGCAGCATCGAGCACCCGCATGCGGCTCTGTTGGAAATGCGCCGCGTCCTGGAGCCCGAGGGGGGTGTTCTGCTGCTGATGGATCACGGCGCGTCCACCTTCCGTCCGATGCAGTGGATTCTGGACTACATGCTGCCGGGGCAGCTGAAGCGCCACGGGTGCTATCACAATCGCAATGTTTCGACCATGGTCACGGCCGCCGGGTTCCGCATTACCGAGATCCAGCGCCGGCATTTCGGCACATCCGTGCGCATCATCGCCACGCCGGATCCGGACTTTGTGCCGCCCCCCCCGGCGGTGGCTACGTCGGCCGAGGCCGAGGCCGAGGCCGCGGCCTCGCCGGCCACTGAGGCGGCTGCCGCTGCCGGTTCCGACCTTGTGACGGCGCCCGCCTCCTAGATGTGCCAGGCGGACCTGCCGCTGTGTGTGCGTGTGTGTGTGAGCCCGAGGAGCCGGGACGGGGGGGGGGGGGGGGGGGGGCAAAAGGGGGGGGGGGGGGGGGGGGGGGAGGCAGAAAAGGGCCTGCCTCGGCCGGGCCTTCGCCAAGGGGGCATCTTCGCATCAAGAGCACCCTGCCCATCTCCTCGTGTCTCTTTTTAGAGCTGGTTTTTTTTTCACCCTCCTGAGCAACCCAACAGTAATATAGATGCGTGCGCTGGTGACCACATCTCTTGCGGGGGGAGGGGACAGAGCCAAACCAAGCGCCGATCGGCGCAGCCACCTTCGGGGGCGGGAGTGGAGCGCAGGAGAAGTCGTAGAACTCGGGAGCAACAGGGTCCACCCATCTGGATATCCAGCACAGAAGTACTGAATCACATTCTCGGGAATCTGATGTCCCGCGGTTCCTTCACCCCCCGCCGCTGCCCCCCTCCCCCCTCCGGTGGGCGTCTTGCGTGTTGGCGAGGGTGCACGCTGGCGTATCTATAAATATGTGAAAGTGTGTGTGTTGTAGGCGAGAGTTTGCGGGGGGGGGCGGGGGGGGGGCTCGCACTTGCTCCCTGGACTCATTATGCAGCCGGCCGCTGTCGGGGTAAAAAACTCTTCGCGGCGTGAGCGCGCGATCAGCCTCCTGACGCCGTGGGGCGTCAAGGGTTTTCCGGATGCGGGCCTCCGGCGGCCGCTTGTTTGCCATGGGCCCGCGCTGCGCCGGGACACACAGCGCGGGTATCCTAGTCCACCAAGACCCAGGGGCTGCCGGGGCGCGCTCCCTACCAGGGTTGTTCCATGCCTCGCTCTGCGGGGCTTCTGGTCGAGGCGGGCAGGAAGGCTCCCGGCGCGCCGGGGGCGATGTGGACCGGAGAATGTGCGAGAGTTGCAGGCCGGTGGGGAGTCATGTGCGGAGGGTTGCCCGCCATGTCTTTTAGTATTTCCCAGGGCCGCGCGCGCGCGTGCGTGCGCGCGACCGAGTGCTCACGAAGCCGGGGATGGGGGGCCGCGGCAGAGAGGGCTGGCGCGCACGCCTTGCGGAGGCTCTAGGGTCTCTCTTCCGGGCCAGCGGCGGCTCCGCCTCCTTCCCTGGTCCTGTGTGGGGTGCTCCCCCCCCCCCCCCCCCCCGCGTGCTAGGATGTGGGGAATGCGGCGTGCGGCTCCTGGTGTCAGGAAATAATGACGTCCGGAGTCCACACGCACGTACGCACGCACGCACGCTCGGAAATACGCTACACTCGGGGGATGTCGCCCTGGAGAAGTGCCGCGTTTAGTGCTTCATCCCGCCCAGCTCCCGGAGGGGGCGGGCCGGCGGCACCCCGGGCCGAGTGCCACATCTTCCTGCCTCGTAGGAGGACTCGCCACTGGGGAGGCCAGGGAAGGCGGGCATAGGAGGCCTCTCGGTCAGGCCCCGGGGGATGCCCGGTGCTGTTCGGTCTCTCCCCCCGCACGATGTGCGGCCTCCAGGCGTTCGGGGGGAGTTGCTGGGCGAGGATGGGGCGTTCGACGGGAAGTCGGCACCCTGGGGGGCTCCCCCCCCGCCCCCTTCCCGCGGACCCGGAGCGCATGGGCCTGCCCTGTCTTCGGTCTTCCCGGCTGTATGCGCGCCAGTGGGCTCGGAGACAGGCAGACCGGTTAGAGGGGTGTCACCCTGGCCCCCCCCCCGCCGCGGCAGAAAGAGTGCGACAGGGAGAGCCGGCTTTTCGCCCTCCGTGCATGTGCCCCTCCGCCCCCCCCCCCCCCTGGGGGAGGGTGGCCGGCGATAGAAGAGTTACCCTGATGCTGGCAGCCCAGCGTCGCGGGCAGGAACACAACCTTAGGTGACACTCCTCTCCCCCGATCAGTCTCACTTAGTTCGTCTCGCCTCCTTCTCTCTCTCTCTCCCCCTCTCCCTCCTTGCTCTTTACCTCTCTCTCTCTCCCCCCTTCGCTCTTGCTCTTTACCTCTCTCTCTCCCCCCTTCGTTCTTGGTCTTTGTCTCTATCTCCCTCCCTCTTCCCTCTTCCCACCTCTCTCCCTCGTTGTGCTCTTCCCACTTCCCTATCTCTATCTCTCTCTCCATTTGGGAAGCCGCCGACTGACGGTCCTTTGCGCCTCTCCCAACCCCCCCCTCTTCGACAGTCCTCGCCAAAATGGTCTTCAGCTTCGACCCCCCCGCCGCCACTTTTGGCGCCACCGCCACCACCGCCGCCAGCGGCAACTCTTCCGTACGCGCATCGCCTTCTTGCCCGCCGCCCTCCCTCCCTCCCCCCCCCTGCGCCTCGCGTCATGGCTGACGGTGTCCCCCCTCCCCACCCAGGACAACGAGGAGGCCCCCTCCAACGTTGACGTCCACTTCGAGCCGGTCGTCCGCCTTGAGGAGGTCGAGGTCAAGACCCTCGAGGAGGATGAGGATGTCCTCTTCAAGATGCGCGCCAAGCTCTTCCGCTTCGATCGCGACAACAACGAGTGGAAGGAGCGCGGTGTCGGCGATGTCAAGTTCCTCCAGAACCGCGACTCCAAGAAGGTCCGCCTGGTCATGCGCCGCGAGCGCACCCTCAAGGTTTGCGCCAACCACGTCAGTGCGTTACCCCGGGCTCTCCCCCCCCCCCGCTGTCTTGCACCCGGGGCCGATCACATATGTCCATGCGCATGTGTATATGCTTTTTTTTGTGTCGCCCCTGTTTCCTGCCGCCCTCCTTCTTTCTCCCTCCCCCCTTCTCTCTCTCTCTCGTCAGCTGACATGGCACAATCCCTGGCTCTTTCAACCCCATCCACTTTCAGTCCAGGGTGAGATGGAGCTGACCGCCAACGTCGGCTCCGACCGTTCTTGGGTCTGGAACGTCCCGTCCGACTACTCTGACGGTGTCCCCAAGCCCGAGCTCCTGGCCATCCGCTTCACCAACACCGAGAGTGCGTCCTTCGATCCTTGTCCATCCCTCCCACGCCCCTATTTTGCCACCCATCACATGCCTGACCATGTGCTCCACCCCCCTCCTCCCCCCTCCCCACCGTCATTTCGTCCGTGTATAGATGCCCAGCTCTTCAAGACCGAGTTCGAGGAGATGAAGCGCATCAACAAGTCCGCCAACGAGGGCAACCCCATCGCCGGCAAGATCTTCGTCGAGAAGAAGGACGAGGAGGAGGACGACAAGAAGGAGACCCCCGCCGCCGCCCCCGAGCCCAAGGAGGAGGAGAAGAAGGAGGAGGAGAAGAAGGAGGAGTAAATCTCCCCTCCTACAATGTACACCCCTCCCTCTCCCCCCCCCCCTCCATATTCCCCTTTACCCCTCAGCTATACACTCCGCCCTTGACTATATTCCCTGCGTGTGTGGTGCATGCGCGCACGACCGTGGCCTCGCTCGATCCTCCTATTCCACATATGTCGCCTTTCAGTCAGCACGCCCCCAGTTTCCCCCTTCCCTCGTCAGTTCCTACATGGGGACAATACCGATACATTTCATCATGCGTGCGCGTGGGGGATCTGCCTGAAGGCGATTCGAGGCGTGGGTGTGCAAGTCTCTCTCTCTCTCTCTCCCTCTGTGTGTGTGTGTGTGTGTGTGCTTGTTGAGGGGGGTGTACCATCCTTTTCCACGGACTGCTTGCCGCATTCTCCTTCCTTTGTCCTTCTCCCAGATTCAGGGCTACACGGCAACACCTCTCCCTGCATCTTCTTGGCTTCGGTCGCCTGTCTCATGTCAGTTGGTCCAGAGGGCTGATCTTCCTTCTCTCACTTCGCATACATCAGGGGTGAGAGAAGGGCGGGATGAGCGGCGCGGGGACGGGGGGTGAGGGGGGGGGGGTCCATGCGCTGCGTGTGCAGTCGTCTCCCAATGGCTGTACAACACCCGACCATCGGGCCGCAAGGCTCAAGAGGCTGAGATCTCCTTCCACTTCAGGCACTCCGGGTGAACTACATTGCGGGGTGTTGCCCCCCCCCCCCCCCCCTCCCGACTCTGCCAGGCGTGGTCAAGACGTCCCCGCCTTCCGGGTTCTGTCCCCTACCCCGTCATGGGGCGAAGCATGAGCGCCCGGCCACCACGGAGATGGGTCCCGCCTTCCCGCCTGAGGGGGGGGGGGGCGCCTCTCGGCCAACAGGCCAGGAGGCAAGGGCGTCAGGAACTGCCAGTGCGCCAGAACTCCTGAGCAATACACCACACCGCAGTATCACGTTCCCACTACGAGAGAATGCAATTCCAATCTAGGACAACTAAACCCGCCTGGAGATTAGGGTACCCACCGATCCCACTGGACACACCATCCTTTGGCAGACAGCCCCGGGCCCTGTACTTGGTGGTCCGGCGGCCCGTGGGTGCGAATGCCCCGGGCGGGGGGGCCTGTGTGCCTGATGCCGACTCGGCTTTCCCCCGCGGCACTGAGCACGTTTATGCGCTCGGGAGCCAGCACGAATAGCCAACGGTCCATCGTATCATCACCGTCAGTTGTCTGGACGGGCTGACGGGTGCGAGGCGTGGGCGAGCAAGCGAGGGGGAGGGGCGGGGGAGACATCACCAGGGCGGGATTGATTTATGCTGCAGCACCTTGCACCCGAGGGCGGCTCGGCCCCCGCCTGGGTGTCCGTGAGGCCATCACTCGAAATGCCGCGGGAGGACGCACCAAACGCCCCCTGGCTCATGTGCTGGCAGCCTATGCCCGTTTGATCATCCCGGCACCAGCTCAGGGTTGTCCCGGAGCCGCGGCCACCAATTGCATTCTTGTTCTGGTCTGCCAGCGCCTGTGTGTCGAGGGGGGGGTTGAGGATG